GTGTGTGTGTGTGTGTGTGTGTGTGTGTCGGGATGGGACCTTGCTTTCTCACCCTCCCTCCTCCTCCTCTCTCAGCCTTCCTCCCTTTGATCTCTTGCCGTTTCTCTTGCTTCCGTGGCTTTTGCCCCCCTCTAGTGGAACGGAAGGCCCCCAGCACACTACAGATCCCCAAGCGCCAGTAGTTAGCGTCTTAACCCACCCACCCAAAGGCGCTGCGGAAGAAAAGCCAGGTGATCGGGCTTCTGAAAGTTCACTACCCTGGAGACCTGATGGGGAAGTTCTCCTCCTACACCTGGGGCACCCCGCATTAGAATCCCCCCGTGGCACTGGCTGAGGGGCCTCTTTCCCTTCTGCTCTTGATCTCTCTTTCCCAGTGATGGGCAGGACGCACGAGATGCCCCACAGCCCTGGAAGGGGACACTGTTGCGCCACTAGGGGTCTAACGGGGCAGGGAAACCGGAGCTGGGAGACACTGCGGCTAAGAGGACCATGAGCCCGTGAGGGTCCTATGGCTCTGGGAAAGGCCTTCCTAGCTTCAACATCTCGCAGACCTTTGAAGGATTCTATAACTTTCTCTTCCAACCCGGAACCGACGAAACCTGCTCAGGACTCTTGATTCTCCCCCTGTCCTTTCTCCTCCCGTCTCTCCCAGGAGTTCTTCCCTGGAGAAGGGGCAGGCTTTCCTGGTGAGCTAGCATCCTCCGGCCTCCTTCTCTGGGAGGCACTGGGGCCCAGGAGAGCAGAGAAGAGGTGCGGAGTGAGTCAGGGTAGGGAGAGCAGGGGGCTGGGGTTTGGGGCACCTGGTGTTCCGAATCTGGCGCCATAGGAAGTTCCCCACAGTTGGGTCCTGGAAGTTGTAGTTGACTGTCCAGAAGATACAGAGCTGTTGGTATTGTGTGACCAGCTCCAGGACGGTCTGGAAGCCTCGGGCAGTGTTAAAATCCACTTCCCCGCTGCCCTGTTCCCAGGCGTAAATCGTCAGTAACTCCAAGGCATACTTTGGGGGCAGGGAGACTTTGTGGGTAGGGTCTCGCTTTGTCTTCAGTTTCCGTTCACACTGTGGGAAGAGGCGGGAGCGTCAGACACGAGGAGCTCGGGAGGAGCCACACAGACCCTCACGTTGGTCACCCCGGGGAAACGGAGTCACCAGAGAGAGGGACCGGTGCTTCAGGAGCAGTGTAGAGGGACAGGCGTTCTTTTAGCAATTGGAGGGCAAAGCGTGGACCCCTGGGGTGTGCCGGGTCACCACCAGGTTGGCGGTGTGGATGAGGAGACCTGGTGATCTGTTCCTATGAAGATCGCAGCCGAGCAAACCTTAGGCCAGCGGTTCTCAACTTGTGGGTTGCGACCCCTTTGGGGGTCGAATGACCCTTCCTCAGGGGTCACCCGATTCATCCCAATAGCAAAATGACAGTGATGAAGTGGCAATGAAAATAATGTTATGGCTGGGGGTCCCCACCACACGAGGAACTGTATGAAAGGGTCGCGGCATGAGGAAGGTGGAGAACCACTGCCCTAGATGGAGCTCCTGTGGCAGCAGTTCAAAACCACCAGCTGCTCCGTGCAAGAAAGAGGAGGCTTTCCACTCCCACCAAGGCTGACAGTCTCAGAAACCCACGGGGCAGTTCCACCCTGTCCTGTAGGGGTGCTCTGAGTCGGCGTGGTCTGGACGGCAGGGAGGCTGAGAGACCCTGGGGTCAGCTGGACCCCACCCCACTCAACAGCACGGGCAGCAGGGGAGTCCCTGCGGGAGCAGATGGTCAGTGTGCTGGGCTGATCACCACAGACCCCAAGTTCAGGTTCATCCAGAGGCACCTTGGGAGAAAGGCCTGGTGAACTGCTTATGAAAACCCTGTGGGGCAGCCCTCCTCTGATACACATGGGCTCCCCCTGAGTCGGAATTGACTCGATGGCCACTCAAGAAGCCCCTCTCCCCCCCAAAAAAATCCTCACTACCATTGAGGGGATGCTGACTCCCAGAGACCCTAATGGACAGAGTAAAACTTTCCCGGTGGGTTTCCAAGACTGTAACGATTAACGGGAGTAGAAAGCCTCATCTTTCTCCTGAGGAGCAGCTGGGGGTTTCGAACTACCGACCTTGCGGTTAGTAAACCCACTACATCACCAGGGCTCCTTGATGGCCACTAAGAGCAGTAATAAGGCGGCAGGCACCGGTTTCTGTTGGGTCGGTGGCCACAGGGTCTTCCCACGGTGTCAGGGGAACCTCAGAAGACAGTTGTCATGGAAGCCAGGGCGCTGAATTAAAAAACTCAAGCCAAACTCACTCCTACCGAGTCTATTCCGACTCATGGTGACCCTACAGGACAGAGGCCACCTGCCCCTGTGGGTTTCTGAGACTAACTCTTGACCGGAGTAGAAAGCCTCATCTTTCTCCCAAGAGGGTAGCAGGTGGTTTCAAACTGCTGACCCCGCAGCTAGCAGCAAAACAAGCAACCCACTACGCCACCAGGCCTCCTCTGCAGAGGTCAGGTAGGTGTCTTAAAGGATTTCCCTGGGAGCATCTTTAACCCTGAACCCCAAATACCTGCACGAGGCATCTTAAAACCCAGCCTGGCTTTACCTCGATGAGGCAAGATGGCCTGACTGGCACATCAAGCTCTCAAAGACCCGGCAGTGACAAGAAAGAGGAGTGGGGGGCTTCGGGGGCGCTTGAGGTCATGTTCATGGGAGAGGAATGACTGGGCAAAGGGGAGTGGGATGGTTCCGACCCTGGAGAACGTCAGCAGTGTTGCTGAGTGGGACTTGTACCAAGTGCTGACTTTGTGCATGTTCTTCCACGTCGGGTCTCACCCCCGCCAACCGCATCGGCAATAGTGATGGCACAACAGCCGATGGTGGGCTCTGGATGGAGCCGGCCATCCACGCACCCCACGAAGCAGGCAGCGGGGTCGCGTTGTGCCTGGTGATCGGAGGCCCGGGGAGTCCCATGACTGGTCCCAGAGGACATGGTGGCTGAGCCCTGAGCACGCCAAACCCAACCCAACCTGACCCCCAACCACGGTGACCTTGTAGGGTAGGGTAGACCAGACCTGCCTCTGTGAGTTTCCAAGGCCATCTGTTGTTTTGGTTTGCTTTTGAAATCATTTTATTCCTACAGGTAGGATAACGACCCATAAATCAATTCGATCCGGCATAATTGGACAGTTGCTGCCGCCATTGTTTTCAAAACACTCGGGCAGAGCATTCGACTGCAGGCTATCTGGTGTTTATGGGGTACAGACTACCTCATCTTGCCTCCCTTGGTGGTTTCGAATGGCTGCCCTTTCGGCTGCAGCCCAACACGTAAACCACCAAGCCATCTGAGCTCTGGTTATGTCTCGTCCATGTTCTGCACTTTCTGGGAGGAGACTCGGGGCTGAGTCTCCATCTCAGCTCCATGGTGGGCTGGAGGCAGAGAGCACAGGGCTCAGGGGAGGGTTGTTGTGGTACGGGACACAAACAGCCCAGGGCCCGGCCTGCAGCTCAGTCGGCCAGTGCCTGCAGCACTGAGCTGACGTCGGCTACCTGCAGGCTTCCGACTCCCTACGTCTGGCCATGCGGGCTGGACCAGAGAAGCCACAATAGCATCCTTCTAGAAGGCCATGGAGGCTCAGGGCTGGGCCTTCCGGGAGGAGAGAGTGAGCTGGATTCCTGACCAGAGCCCCTCATGCCCAGCCCCCATCCGTCTACCAGGGGAGGCTTCTGGGTTGCTACGATGCTGACGGGGTTACAGGGTGACTTTCAGACCCAGAGGGATGAGGCGGAAAGACCTGGCAATCTACTTCCAAAACCCAGCCGATGGAAACCCTAGGGATCACAGTGGGATGCTGTTGGGGCTGCATCGACTCATGGGCATGGTACGGTACCAGGTAGTACATCATGCTGTTTGGGTATGGGGTTGCCAAGGGTCAGGGCCGACCTGAACGCAGCTAATAACGACAATGACGGCGACAACCACACAGCAGCCTTGACAGGAGATGCTTTGTGCAGCATCAACCAGGCTCCGTGATGGGAGAGCCATCCGGATCCCCGGTGTAAGCACTGGGTAGATTCCCTGAGACAACTGGCCTCCCCTGCCCAGGGCAGTGGGCAGGTGCTGGTCCAAAGGTCCCTGATAAATATACATAGCCACCTAGGACAAAGACTCGTACCTGTTTGTACCAATGCTTCACCAGGCGAATTAAACTCTTCACCTTGGTCGGACGGGAGATGATGAAGTCGCGCTGCAGCTCTGTGAAGCAGCAGGAGAACTCTCCCTTGACATACTTTGAGGAGTCAAACAGCCGGATGAGTTCCGCATACACAGTGGGGCTGGGGGTGGAGCCTGGTGTCCATAACCCTGGTCAGGAGGAGAGAGCTGTGAGATACCTTCATATGTAGGGCAATGAATGAGCACAGCTGAAAACATATTTTTTGGGGGGAGACACCTTTCATTCTAATCCATGATGTTGAGCTGCACTGAAAAACAAACTCCCAAACCTTCAAAACTCACTCCCACGGACTTGATTCTGACTCGCCGTGACCCTAAAGGACAAGGTAGCACTGTCCCCTGTGGGTTTCTAGGACTGTCATTCTTTACAGGAGTAGAAAGCCTCCTCTTTCTCCCAAGGAGTGGCCGGTGGTGTTTGAACTGCTAACCTATGACCCATAACCCACTAGGCCACTAGGGCTCCAGTACGTTAGAATTGTTGGGTGGTGTCAACTGTGAATGGGTTTGCTGGGAATGGTTGGAGGCTGAAGAACACGCAGAGGTGCCTCTGAAGAAAGGCCGGGTGGTCTGTTTCTGAACAACCAGCCTTCGAGAACTCTCTGAAGCCCAGCTGTGCTCTGATACCCATGAGGCCACTGTCAGTCAAAATCAACTTGACAGCAACTGGCTTTGAAGATACAGGGAGTATCTATGTTCTGACACGCACCTATTCTGAACAGCATTAAACGGAAAACGAATTATATTTACAAAGATGCAGAGTGCATCTCTAACATAATGAGCTTTAATAAACGCTCACAGCCATTTCTATCATTGCTGAAAGATATCTTGGACAGGACTGATCGGGGAGTCACACGTTATGGCTTGGGCTTAAACTTGGCCCTCTGCTTGTTTGTGTAAATAAAGTTTTATTGGTACATAGGCTTGTTGCTTCCCTATGGCCTGTAGCTGCTTTCATTCTACAACAGCAAAGTCGAGCAGTTGTAACAGAGAACAGTCTGACCCTTGTAGCCCCAGACTGTTATTATTTGACTGTTGACAAAAAAAACCCGTTTGTAGGTCCAACACTCAGAGGGATGGCGGTACCCGGATCTTCAGGATTTTGAATCGGCTATGATTTGCCAAATGTCTGAGGTAGCATCTTCAAGAGAAACCAAACTCATTGCCAGTGAATCTATTCTGACTCGTAGCGCTCCCCTATAGGATAGGATGGAACGACCCGGGGGGTTTCCAAAACTGGAACTCTTTCTGGGAATTGAAAGTCTGTCTTTCTCCCTCAGAGCAGCTGGTGGTTTTGAACTGCTGACCTTGAGGTTAGCAGCCCAATGCTCAACCCACTACATCACCAGGGCTCCTGACATAGCACCCATGATATGGTTTTCCACATGCCATTACATATCTCTCACCCATGAACTGAATTCCTAAAGGAGATTTTGCCAGAGTATGCCTGGCAATGCCTGGG